ACTCAAAAGTATTTAGTTGCAATAATTGAATGGTAGTCAATAAGGCTGCCGTAAACAATGGCAACAGTGGAAGATGCAAAAATCTCTGTCAAAGAGCCAAGTCAAAAAATGAGTTATGGTTGACACCACTGATTGAAAAGAGTTAACCTCCTCTCAATACAACATTGCCAATATTCATGTCATTACCTTTGAGAAAAGTGACTTTTGGACAAAGCAAAAACTGAGCCAGATACTTGTCAACCTTAGAAATTAAACCCCAATGCCATGTGAAAGACAGCATAACCTCTATGCCAGTTGCACCATATCCGATCAGAGAGAGCCTAAAACAAAGTGGAAGAGTTGGACAAACCAGAAGGGACCACAGAAGCAGAAACCCGGTTGTAGCTGTCAATCTGATGCAATCAACAGGATATGACAATGGGTTGGATCAAATCATATTTCATACCCTGGGTAACATATGAAGTGGAGAGAAGGTTCAGATGAAAATCATCTATTGCCAAGGGCTAAAGATGAGGTACTGGAGATTAAGTTGCCAAAAGTTGGGTGATCAACTGAGAGGCCAACCCACCAATTAGAGTTGTGACATGAGAGCCAATCCAACTGAACCTTGTGATGCAACATCTATTCTGTTGGGAGAATCTGTTAGAATTGAGACAATGGACCTGCTACCATAGGCATCACCCATGGAACATGGCATACTAGAAGGGTGATAAGACTAGTCCCTAGAAAGGAGGTTCAAAATTCGAAAACAAGGAGCCCTAGACCACATGCCTCCATCATAAGAAACATAACACACCACCACAAAATAGTAAAAGTGAAGCCTGATGATTTACCCCTGAAGAAGCCCAGACCATGAAATCTTGCCTGTTGAAAAGCAAGGAGGATGACGATATTGTGTAGGGAATCATTGTCAACCATGCATACTCTGGAAATCCTGACTATTGGTATATGTACTCCATCTCTGAACCCATATTAACTCCATTCCAACGGGTATCCTTTACTGTGCATGACACAAGGTTTTAGTGTCTTACATTCAAAATTTTATAACTCTACTTTTTGTTTATGTCATTCCAATTAGTATAGCATAAATTCTTAGCTAATAATCCATATTTTAATAGTATAGAAGTTTTAAGTTCTTAATTCTACAATGCAATGTGTAAAAAAATCCTACATTTCCAATAATGTGACACACGTGACATATTTTCTCTAGGCATCTTCTTTTTCTCTATTTTATTCACCACCCCTCCACAAAGTATGAAATTAAATGTAAATTACTTGCTATAAAATCGCCATAATTTTTATAGCCTTCAATTTTGTTTGGTTGCAGAGCTATGAAACAGAAAATCACACCCCTCCTGTCACAGGATTTGTTAATAGTTCTCCCTTACATTTAAGTATATACCACCTATAACCAATAGAAAGCAAAGGTTTTC